TACTCTTCTGTCCAATTAAGCCCCCAAAAGAAAAAACAAAAACCAGAACATGGCTCAAATGGTAAAGCACTAGCCTTGAGTAAAAAAAAAAAAAAGAAAAGAAAAAGAAGACCTTAGGGACAGAGTCGAGGCCCTGAGTTCAAAATAAATAAAACAGCAACCAACAAAGATATTAGAGATACTAACTTGAAATTTAGAAAAGACATGTATTTCTACCAAAGGTATCCTAGCAAAAATCCTAGGGTACTGTGTGATTGTGTGAACTCTGTCCTTTAGTGTTGTGTGGTTGTGTGATCTCAGCCCTGGGTTTTTGTGTGGCCGTGTGATGTCTCCCCTGGGGTGTTCTCTGGTTGTGTGATCCCTACCTTGGGGTGTTCTCTGGTTGTGTGATATCTGCCCTGAGGTGGTTTGAGGTTGTATGATCTCTGACCTGGAGTGCTATGTGGTTGTGTGCTATGTGGTTGTGTGCTATATGGTTGTGTGTTGTGTCATCTGTTTGTGTGAACCCTACCTTGGGGTGTTCTCTGGTTGTGTGAGCTCTACCTGGGGTGTTCTCTGGTTGTGTGATGTCGGCCCTGGGGTGTTTTGAGGTTGGGTGACCTCAGTGATAGTCTGTGTGATCTCTACTCTAGGGCAGTAGTGGCTTGTCTGGACTCTGTGCTAGGGTGCTATGTGGTTGTTTTTCTCTGCCCTGGGGTGTTGTGTGGCAGTGTGACCTCTGCCCTGAGATTTGTGTGGTTGTGTGAACTCCATCTGGGAGAGTTGTACAGTTGTGTGACCTCTACCCTAGGGCAAGAGTGGTTGTGTGATCTCTACCCTAGTCATTAGTGGTTGTGGAGGCTTTGGTTGGTCTAGGTGTTAGGATGGAGAATAGACTTTAGACTGAGAGATGGGTTCAAATCCCCAGTTCACTCTGAGAGGGCAGAAAGGGCCTTAGAGCAGCCTTGGCTTTGAGCAATGTCCGGCAGGCCTATGGCAGGCTTGGGCCTTTGATAACCCAGGGCGAGAGCTGAAGGCCTGGGAAGTCTCCTCCAGAAGAATCCAGACTCAGGCCAAGGCTTGCGCAGGCAGGCAGTGCTTGATGCAGGAGGGATGGCTCCCCTGCCAGGTCTGCCTGCTCCCTGCAGCTCTGAGTCGCAGTGGGAGAGGGACAGAGACCTCTGCAGTTGTCCCAGCCTGGGAGCTGCCTTGGCCCCGCTCAGCACCATGGACGGCTGCCCAGGTGGATTCCTGATACAGACAAAGGTCAGCCTCAGCCAAGGGACCCTCCCAGGTTGGTTCAGTGCCCAGTCCAGTCCTGGCGCTGGAGTGGAGGAATCCAGTAAGCTGGGAGGCCGCCATGGGGCTGCTGACAGGGGAAGCACTGTGGGCCGTGGCCGTGGCGGTGGCCATCTTCCTGCTCCTGGTGGACCTGATGCACCGGCGCCAGCGCTGGGCTGCTCGCTACCCGCCGGGCCCTGTGCCTCTGCCAGGGCTGGGCAACCTGCTGGAGATGGATTTCCAGAACCTGCCATACTGCTTCTACAAGGTGAGGAGCAGGTGGTGGGCAGCAGAGGGCACGCAGAGCCCGCAGAGCCAGTGCTGGCAAGCCACAGGCCGCGCAGGGAGCCGAGCCCCAGAGGCTGAGAGGCTCCCTGGGGAGGGCGCTGCAGGGCCTGAGGACAGTCTGGCTTTCCAAGACCAACGTGTGGCGGGGCAAAGGCCGGGGTGGCACCGGGCCCTGTGTGAGGAGAACGCCGGGCTCCCCCGCAGCTGCAGCGCCGCTTCGGGGAGGTGGTCAGCCTGCACCTGGGCTGGAGGCCAGCGGTGGTGGTGAACGGGCTGGAGGCCGTGCGCGAGGCGCTGGTGAAGCACAGCGAGGACACCGCTGACCGCCCGCCCATGCCCGCGCTGGAACACCTGGGCTTCGGGCCCAGATCTCAAGGCAAAGGGCGGCAGGGGCGGCAGCCTCGGCACTGACCTGGGGACCCCTGGGAGGCCGGAGGGCGGCGCTTGGGAGGGAGGACGGGGAGCAGGTCGGGAAGGCAGTGGGCGTGGCCGGGACACACCTGCAGCGTGTGGGAGGCGGGGCAGCAATGTGATTGGAGTCACGCCCAGTTGCTGATTGGTGGATAGGCGGTGCCTGGGTCCTGTCTAGGTCACGGATTGGATGTGAGTCTGGAGCCACACCCAGTTCCCCGCCCCCTCTCTTCCCAGGGCTGATCATGGCCCGCCACAGCCACGCCTGGCGCGAACAGAGGCGCTTCTCCGTGTCCACCCTGCGCAACTTCGGCCTGGGCAAGAAGTCGCTGGAGCAGTGGGTGACCCAGGAGGCCGGCTGCCTCAGTGAGGCCTTCGCTGACCACTCCGGTGAGCGTTGGCAGGAGGGACACAGCAAAACGAGGAAGGGGGTAGGGGGGTACTGGGGGGAGGTCAATGCATTAATGTCATTACTGCTCCCAGGTCACCCGTTCAGCCCCAAGGCTCTCCTGAACAAAGCCGTGTGCAACGTGATCGCCTCCCTCATCTATGCCCGCCGCTTCGAGTATGATGACGCCTCCCTGGACAGAATGTTGGAGCTGTTGTATGGCACTCTGAAGGAACCGTCCGGCCTCATACCCATGGTGCGGACTCAGAACCCTCTGCAGGGCCAGCTCCTGCAGCTGGAGCTCCTGGGGAAGGGTTTGCATTCGATGGCATGAGGAGGGGGCATGAGGAGAGGTCACAGAAGGTCAAGCCTAGATCTAGGGAAACTCAGACAACAGGCCTGAGAAGGGACTTAAGGGTCATAGAGCTCCAGAGAGTGACCACCTGTGCCCCATGTCCCTGTTGGAGCCCAAGAGAGCAAGGAGGCTGCCACAGGGGAAAAAGTGACAGGTGGAGTTAGGGAGGGGCTGTGTGGTCCTTCCTGGAGGTCACAGGATCAGAGAACGGTCCAGGTTTACATTGAACTCAGGACTCTTACCCTCTGTGCTCTCACAGTTGCTGAATGTGGTCCCCGTGCTCCTGCGCATCCCTGGGCTGTTTGGGAAGGTCTTCCCTGCATATAAAGCCTTCTTGGCCACACTGGATGAGCTGCTGGCAGAGCACAAGATGACCCGGGACCCTGCTGAGCCACCTCGAGACCTGACCGATGCCTTCCTGGCTGAGGTGGAGAAGGTGCGCTGTGACCACCCTGCCCCACAGACTGGGCCAGAGCCAAGGCCTGAGGGTGCTGTGGAAGGGAGGCCGGGCTCCAGGCTGGAGGGGACAGTGGAGGCTGTCTGGAGCCTTGTCCTCTGCTGCCTGAGCCCAGAACCCCCTTGTCTTTGCACAGGCCAAGGGGAACCCCGACAGCAGCTTCAATGAGGACAATCTGCGCATGGTGGTGGTTGACCTGTTCACCGCAGGGATGGTGACCACCTCCACCACGCTGTCGTGGGCCCTGCTGCTCATGATCCTGCACCCGGATGTGCAGCGTGAGCCCAGCTGGGACCGGAGGGAAGGGGGAGGGAGGAAAAGTGGAGTCAGGGTGTAGGCTTCACTTCAGCGGGAGTCATGGTGACCTCACCGGGTCTCGGCTCTTCACACAGAGGCCGGGGCAGGTGGACACTGGCCCTAGTGACTGCCTGCGGTGTCTCTGCTTGTCCACGCAGGCCGCGTGCAGCAGGAGATCGATGAGGTGATCGGGCAGGCGCGGCGGCCAGAGATGGGGGACCAGGCCCGCATGCCCTTCACCTGCGCGGTGATCCATGAGGTGCAGCGTTTTGCCGACATTGTCCCCTTGGGTGCGCCCCATATGACAACAAGTGACATTGATGTCAAGGGCTTCTTCATTCCCAAGGTAAGTCCACGTCCCCATTTGCCCAGGTCAGTGACCATTCAGCTACCATCACAGCTTGACTCTTTACTTTGGGCAAGTAAAACTAGGACCCCCATTTTCACATCTAGGAGGTGAGGGACACAGGAGAAAAGTTCAGCCCTGTGCTCAGGGCCTCTGGAGCTGAGGGAAAGGCAGAGCTGCAGGTTCAGTGGGAGTGTTGCCACACAGGGGACACGTCAATGTGTCCCTCATCTGCTGTGGACACAAGGGCGGTGCGCTGGAGCTGCCAGGGGCCCAGGGTCAGGTGGAAGGAAGCACGTGGGCCAGGGCAGTGGCCGTGTGTTTGGTGCCCCTGACTCCCCTCACCAAGCACCTCTCACCAGGGCACCACGCTCTTCACCAACCTGTCGTCGGTGCTGAAAGACGAGCGCGCCTGGCAGCAGCCCTTCCGCTTCCACCCTGCACACTTCCTGGACGCCCAGGGCCGCTTTGTGAAGCCTGAGGCCTTCATGCCCTTCTCAGCAGGTGCGTGGGGGTCTGGCTCCCTGTCCCCTCGCTGGGGTGACAGGCTGGCTGGGAGGTGGCCCCCAGGCCCCAGCTGACCGTCCCCGCTGGCTGTCCCCCACAGGTCGCCGCGCGTGTCTGGGGGAGCCCCTGGCGCGCATGGAGCTCTTCCTCTTCTTCACCTGTCTCCTGCAGCGCTTCAGCTTCTCAGTGCCCGCAGGCCAGCCCCGGCCCAGCACCATCGGCGTCTATGAAACTGTGGTGATGCCAGCCCCCTACCAGCTGTGCACTGTGCCCCGCTAGAGGCCCCCAAGTCCCCACTCCACCCCAGCGGCACAGCTGTGCCCAACATCGCACGTGCTGGCTTTCCTACCTGTGTGTCACCTCTGCACCCTAATGGGAGGATTGCTATGTCGAACCTCGGCATAACACACCCAGCTTTAGGCAAGTGGTATCTGTGTCCTGGGTGATGGGGAGAGTAGAGTGCATCTGGAGACCCCATTTAACCCCATTGCCATTATCCTATGTCTGCTTCCTTTTGGGGGTCAGGAGGGACAGTGCTGGGTTTGAATTCCAAGCCATGAATCTGCTGGGCAGGGCCTCTGCCACTCAAGCTATGCGCCCAGCCTCAACTTCTTACCTGAGACCCCAAAGAAGTGGGTACATCAGGAAGGCAGGAAGTGGGTCAGCATTAACATCCACAGTTAGCTATCAGGAGCCAAAGTCTCCCTGGCAAGGCCTGATGGGAACCAACAGGGAGCCCCCTTGCTGAGCCTCGCGGCCCCCAGACACAGCACTGACCGGCTAACCTGGCCCATCAGGCAAGCTGGTGTTCTGTCCCTATGGGCTGAGAAGTTTCCTCTCTGGCCAGGCTGGAGCGGGAGGCCGTGGGTCAAGGCTCTGAGCTTGCTTCCCTCAAGTACAGTGGCCAGAAAGGTTACCAGGGAAAAGACGTGGAGACCTGTGGGCTGGGGCCCTAGGGCGGGCTTGCCCTTGTGTAGTGATAGGGACATAAAAGGAGAGAGACAGGGAGAGAGAGAGATCCCCTTTTTCCTTTTGTCACTATATTAGGTGAACCTGGGCTTGTGTTTCCCCTTCTATAATGAGAAAAATCACAGCTCCTATCTTTCTGCTGTGATTTCTGTCGCTGTGATCCTGGTTGATCTACATCCTCGCTCAGGGCAGGTGTAGGGATGAATGAGGAGGGGCCCCCATTGAAGAAGACATGACAGAGAAACCACAAAGTCCAGGTGGACTGTGGGTGAGCCCAATGGGAAGAACAGGCCTGGAGGAAAGAGGAAGCAAATGCAGCCCCTGAATTGGGCCAGATGGAAGGCAGAGAAGAAAACTGAGCTGCCAAGCAGCCTGCCTAAGAACTTTGAAATATGGCCTGAAAAAGAGATGGCAGGACAGTAGGTTCACAAAAAGAGAGACAGCCAATGCCCAAAGTCCACGAGCTCCATAAAAGCCTCTCCCTGACCCCACATCACTACAGCCACAGCCCTGCCTCACCCCTGCCTGGCTGCCCTCCCCGACTGTCCCACACAATGTCCTAAGAAATGCTTGCTTTCTCTTGTTCTCCCGGCTTGGGACATGGTGGTACCAGCCCAGGTACCTGAAATCTGCACACCACAGCTGGGTGCTCTTTCCCCCTCTGTCTTCATCTCACAGTGGCTGGTAGGGGCGGTGTCCGAGGCCCTCCAGAGTCCATCCTGTGCCTTTAGGAAACAGGCTGGGCTGGAGAACAGGCCACTCAGAGCTGGAGGCTGAGTGCTGTCTTCGCTGGGGCCAGCAGCATCTCCACGAGGGATCCCGGCCTCTCCTCAGCGCCCTAGGACAGGGGCCCCATAGGGTCCACCCTTCCTGCATGCCCCCTGGGCCCGTGTGAGGTGCGGGCACTGCGGGTCATTCGCAGGGCAGAGCACAGGCTGCCAGCCAAGGCCCTGTGTTGGCAGGAGGGAGAGTGTGGCGTGTGGTCTGCGCACTGCCCTTGCTCTCCAGGCAGCCTGGGGCCTGTGAAAGGATGAAACCGGGCTTCTAGAAGCAGCAACTGGAGGATTTATTGGATCCCTTCTTATTCATGGCTCTTTATCTTTGGGTTGTCAGAGGCCGGGAACCAACTCAGCCAGAATTTTCTCCAAAGTGGGGCTCCCCACATCCCAGACCACTTCTCCTCCTCCATCTCCACTTCCGCATCTTCTAAAACACACAAAACAGTAGGCCTGTGTCTCCCTGTCCACAAGATAATTTACCCAGCACCCAGCACTCCCTGACAGCAGGGGCCACTGGGAGAAAGGTTGCTAGGCGACCAGCTAGGGGGCGTGGCCTCCACACAGGGAGTGAGCCCAGGTAGGTTACCCCTGGAACGGCTGGTGTTTCTCCCCCTCCTCCCCAGGTCAGGAAAGTTTGCTAGATCTGGACTCTGTCCTGATACTGTTTCTGAGATTCGGAGGAAGGCGTCCTGATAAAACAACAGCATGGGGTCCGCCATCTTACCAGATGGATGTACTGCAACTTCCTGTTGGACCATTTTCTTTTCCTGGGATAGAAGAAGAGGGACACGGTAGTGAGATTAGAATCTATGCTGTACAGATGAAGACACTGAGCACTCATGTGAGGTGAGGCCAGGACTGAGCCCCACTGGCTGTTCCCCCCAGTTCCCCATAGATAGAGCTCCTTGCTCCTCTGGGATGGCGCAGTGGTCCAGTGGTCCGGAGGGTGAACCAGCCTTTCCCACCGCAGCCTCCTCACCCTGCCGCCTCCCGGTGGCTGTCAGGAGGATCCCCGCTGGGGATGGGCCCGGGGAGGCCTCAGCTTCTCACCTCCCAACCTGGGGTCCCTGCCACCCTCTCTCTCCTCCTCCCTGCCCCGGACCCTCACCTGCCCTTCCTCCTGAGATACACTGTCCGTTTCTTCCTGCGGGGTGGTATCATTTTGTGCTTCTTCCTCCTTGGGGGCCGTGGTCTGGGGGGAGGCCTGCGAAGTGGGCAGCGCGGCATTCAGACCCTCAGCTCTCCTCCTGTCGCCACGCCTGGGGCTGTCCCAGGCCCTTGCCGTCCTTCCCAGTTGAGCTGAGCTGGGGTCAGTTTCCCCAAGGGGACTTGCCATGGCCCCCTGGGACTCTGAGTCCACACGGAGTTCCCCTCCCCACCTTGCCAGGGGCCTCCCTTACTCTGGAGACTTGCTTCTCACCCCTGAGTTTTTGCCTCTGCAGGAGACAAGAAGTGACACACAGTGTGGTCCCTGGGGGGTCCTTGTCTTCCAGGGGCAGCCCCCCTCCCACCCCCGTTACTATGAGAATGACTAACACAGTCACCCACACCCTCCCAGCCCAGACCCACCTGAGCGGGCGCCGGGTAGCACTTATCCATCAGCCCCCACACCGGCCTCACGGTCTCCCCTTTGGGCTGCGTGACAAGGAGAGACGGAAGGCTGCGGAGATGTGCAGCTGCCTGGTCGGCAGATCCCCAGACTGTCAGCAGCCTTGAGAATATCTTTAAAAGGAAACTAAGGTTGGGCGTCCGTGGCTCACGCCTGTCATCCTAGCTACTCAGGAGGCTGAGATACAAGGACTGTGGTTCAAAGCCAGCCCAGGCAGGAAAGGCCGTGAGATACTTATCTCCAACAAACCAACAGAAAACTGGAAGTGGTGCTGTGGCTCAAGTGAGGGACAGTGCCCAGGCCCAGAGTTCAAGCCCCATGACTGATCAAAAAAAAAGGAAGATAAGTAGAAATGTTTTGGTTTCGTGGTTTCACTGGGGTGGGGGCTCTCTATGACAAGTCATGCCCAGCCATTCCTGGCTCTTTTATTCAAGGCTAGCACTCCATCACTTTGAGCCACAGCTCCACTTCTGGTTATCTAGGGATTAAATGAAGATAAGAGTCAGTCTCCTGGAATTTCTGCCTGGGTTGGCTTTGAACTGTTCTCAGATCTCAGCCTCCTAAGTAGCTAGGATTACAGGCGTGAGCCCCCAGCACCTGGCCAAAGAACTTTTTTTTTTTTTTTTTTGGTCATGAGGCTTGAACCCAGGGCCTGGGTGCTGTCCTTGAGTTCTTCTGCTCAAGACTAGAGCTCTACTACTTTGAGCACAGACACACTTCTGGTTTTTGAGTGGTTAATTCGGAGATAAGAGTCTCACTGACTTTTCTTGCCTGAGCTGGCTTCAAGCCTCGATCCTCAGATCTCAGCCTCCTGAGTAGCTAGGATGACAGGCGTGAGCCACCGGTGCCTGGCTAGAACTTTTTAAAATAGATATTTTTGTTTTAAAGAGGGAATCAAAGTTGAACTTAATGACCTCCAATGCATTTGTAAACAAGAGCGTTCTTGATCACGTCTGAATGGTCACGGCCAAAGATATACCCCAGGGCTCTCCAGTGTTGCTAGATAACATTTTCCCAAAAGCACAGGACAGGCGGCCGAGAGCCTGTGCGGCTCTGTCCTGGTGCTGGGGGCGCTGCCGGTCTGCTTGCTTCCCTCCAGATGCCGAGTTTCCTCCTCTGTAGAGTGGCAGCACTGGGCTGCTGGGGCCTGTAGTGCCAGCACCTGCTCCCAACATGTCCCTCCCTGCACCCCTCCTCTCATGGTGTTCGGGCACAGGTTGTGGGGCCTGGGCTCTGTCAACCCCAGTGGGTCACCACTGCCCCGTTTACCTCTGACTGTGGAGGATGGGGCCAGGAGTCACGTGTTCATGTGGGTTTGGTCTGAGCACTACCATAGACAGACAGCCCATGCTGGGGGGGGGGGGGGGGGGAGAGTGGAATCATGGAGCGGGACCAGGGGAGGGGATCAGCTCTGCTTTGACACTTTGCCAGAGAAATGGGATTGCAGCAGAACCCCCTTTCACATGTCCTCTTGGTATATGCCTAGGTGGGTGAAGATGATAGACGGATGGATATACACACACATACATACATACATACATACATACATACATGATAGACGGATGGACAGACTGATAGATTATAGATGACAGCATAATCCCTATGGCTCAGCCTCCAGGCCCCAGCAGCAGAAGACACTACCTGTGTTGATTTCTCAGCATTCTCATAGTCCAGCGCCGGTTTCCCCATGTACATCTGGAAATAGTAGTACCCCGCTCCTGCAGGTTGATGAGAAAGACTAGGGAAAACTTCGAATATGATGTCATTACTTTTTGTTTTTGTTCAGTGCTGGGGGAATTGAACAAAAGCTGGCTACCACTTGAACCATCCCTAGAGTTCTGTGTCTTACTATTTACAGTACATGAGAAATGACAGCCTTTTAACCCCTTGAACCTTGCTGTAAAAGAAAGATTGCTAGATGTGGTGGCACACTCCTATAATCTCAGCACTCAAGGGACTGAGGCAGGAAGATTGCAAATCTGAGGCCAGCCTGGACCACATCCTGAGCACCTGACTCAAAATCCAGTCAAAGGCAGGTGCTGGTGCTCAAGGCTGTAATCCTAGTTATCCAGGAGACTGAGATCTGAGAATCATGATTTGAAGCCATCCCAGGCAGGAAAGTCTATGAGACTCTTAACTTTAACAACAAAAAGCCAGAAGTGGAAAAGCCGTGGTTCAAGTGGTAAACACTAAGCTTTTGAAGGGAAAAAAAAAAGTGCTCAGGGACAGAGTCTAGGCCTTGTGTTCAATACACAGTACCTGCACCAAAAATAAATAAATCCACGATCAGCAAAGATATTAGGTATTAACTTAAAAATTTGGAAAAGATATATAGTTCTAAAGGTATGCAAGCAAACATCTGATTTCTGCCCTGGGTTGTTGTATGGTTGTGTGATCTCCATTCTGTTGTTGCTGTGTGACCTCTGCCCTGTGGTTTGTGTGGTTTTGTGATCTCTATCCTAGAGGGTTGTGTAGCTATGTGATTTCTACCCTACTGCATTAGTGATTGTGTGATCTCGATCGTAGGTTGTTGTATGGTTGTTTGATCTCTGTCCTATGTTGTATGGTTGTTTGATCTCTGCCCCAGAATGTTGTCTTGTTGCGTGACCTCTGCCCTGGGGTGTTGTGTGGTTGTGTGACTTTGCCCTGAGATTGTGTGGTTGTGTGATCACCATCCTAGGGCACTGTTGTGTGATCTCTACCCTAGAGATTAGTGGTTGTGTGGTCCCTACCCTAGGGCATTAGTGGTTGTGTGATCTCTAACCGAGGACATTAGCGGTTATGTGAGCTCTACCCTACAGCATTAGTGGTTACATGATCTCTAGGGCATTAGTGGTTGTATGGGCTTCGGTTGGTCTTGGTTTTAGAGATAGAGCAGTGTAGACTTTAGACTGAAAGGTGGGTTCAAATCCTCAGATCACTCTGGGGGAGGGAAGGGCTGTGGTGCAGGCATGGCTTTGAGCAATGCCAGGCAGGCCTCTAACAGCCTGGGAATGCTGGGAACCCAGGTGAGCAGCTGGAGACTGGGATGATGGCTCAGGTTCCAGGCCCTGCCATGCCCCTCCCAGCCCTCAGCCCTTACCTGCAAGAATGAAGATGTGCACCAGGTACAGGGACCTGTGGAGCCTGTGAGAGAAGGCGTCATGAGCATGAGCCCGGCTGCTGGCCCTCGGCAGTGGGAGCCACTTTCCTCCTCTTCTGAGCCTCAACCCTCCTCCACCTGGCAGCCTCCACTCAGCATTTGAGGCTGAACAAATCTCAGGGCACCAGGCCTTTGGCTGAGCGCTGCTACCTGCCTGGCCTAGAGCCCACAATGCACCCCTGGATCCCTCCCTCCTCCTTTCCCCTGCAGTGATTGACTGGGTCTGTCCTGCCCAGAGGGAGAGCCCAACAGGAGAGCCCCCAGCTAAACCTGCTACTGGACTGGCACCGCCGGGCATTTTGTTCTACATTTGCTCTTTCCCCACAGATGCCCACAGCCCTGCCTTCCTGCACAGGTCCTGCTTGTCCCAAGCACAGAGTAGCACAGCCAGGACAGTGGCTCCCTGATTACACACACACACACACACACACACACACACACACACTCACACACACACAGACATACACAGACACAGATCGACACACACAGACACACACACATACACACACAGACATATACACAGACACACTCACACACACACTCACACACAGAGACATACACAGACAGACACACACATACACAGACACAGACACACACACTCACACACACAGACATACACAAACAGACACACACACACACACACACACACACACTCACACGCAGACATACACAGACACAGATCGACACACACAGACACACACACATACACACACAGACATATACACACACACTCACACACACACTCACACACAGAGACATACACAGACAGACACACACATACACAGACACAGACACACACACTCACACACACAGACATACACAAACAGACACAGACACACACATACACACACACACACACACACACACACACACGTACGGAGATGGGCGTTCACATACACCAAGGCATGTCCGACCTTGCAGGACCAGGCCATCAGCTCTGCTGCTCACACATAGCTCCTTCCCCTTGCCCCAATTCCCAGACACCTCACAATCTTCAGCCCAGGTAGGGGATCCCCATCTTTGATTATTTGGGGCCCAAATAATGAACTTTACCCTTCTCTCTGGCAGCAGAATCCCAGCACCATCTTCAGTCTAGGAAGAGAAGAGGGCCAATGGCCACTGTGTCCTGTAGGCCAGGACTCCAGCGCCCCCTCCTGGTGTGTGTGGGGGATGGAGGCCCAGAACCTTCCCCCACAGGGCCCAGCAGGGCATGGCTGGCCAGGGCAGCTGTACCTCAAACTCAGCAGGAGTTTGGAAAATCCTCTGATGCTTCTTCCAAGACCTCAGTTCCCCACCCCGCACTCCCAATAAACCTAGTTTCCATGCAGAGCCAGAAGGATCCCCAGATCAGAGCAGGGGAAGATGCACAGGAAAGGATGAGGGAAAAAGGCTCAGAGCTGTTGAAACTGGGCAGAAAATGTCCCTAGGTTAAGTGGGTAATTAAAATAGTAAATAAGTAGTACATGCACAAAGTAAATAAAAACTACTGGGACTGGGAATGTGGCATAGTGGTAGAAGCATGCCTAGCAAGTGTGAAGCCCTGGGTTCAACTTCTCAGTACCACACAAGCAGAAAAAGCTAGAAGTGGTGCTGTGGCTTAAGTGGTACAGTGCTAGCCTTGAGCAAAAGCTTCTCAGGGACAGTGCCCAGGCCTGAGTTCAAACCCCAGGACCGGCAAAAAAACAAACAAAAAAATAACCTACTAACACTTTCAGGCATGTTTCTGGCTTAAGTAGCATTTAAAAATGTCTTTGGAGCTGAGCAGGTTGACTCATGCATATAATCCTAGCCACCTAGGAGGCTGAGTTCTAAGGATTGAAGTTCAAAGCCAGTCCAGGTAGAAAAGTCTATGAGACTCTCATCTCCAGTTTACCACTAAAAAGCCAGAAGTGGTGCTGTGGCTCAAGTGGTGGAGTCCTAGCCTTGAGACAGCGTCCAGGCCCTGAGTTCAAGCCCCAGGACTGGCACAAAATAATAACCACCACCGCCATCTTAGGAATGGTGAGGGAGACTTCACTATCTCATAATACCTTTCTCTTGGAAATCTCATTCTTAGTGTCAAAAGTCCACATCAACTGATGCTATTGGGGGTGTCCCTCGGGAGAGGGCCCCGGGTGGCCTGCCAGCTTCCCGTCTCCACAGAAACTGTCTCAGAATCTCTCAGGGAGTCGCGCTCCCTGCCTCTGCCTCCTCCTGCTCTGCTTGGCACGCAGCGCAGCAGCTTAGATGGAGGTGTCCTCCACTTCCTGCCTCCAGAGCCCCCCACCCAGCACCTGCTCCCCATGACCCCATTCCCGTGCTCCCCACCGTCTGGGCTTCTCCCAACCTGGGCAATCAGGGATCCCCGGTCTCCCTCCATCTCTTCTTTTCCTTATTCTCAGGCCCTTCCAATCAGCACTGTGACAAGATCAAGGCCTCATTCTCCACGTACGTAGTAACTGTGCCCCTTTCCCACCAATCTTCCTGCAAGTGCAGCAGGGGTGGGGGAGGATCTTCACAGCTCTCCCCTCCCTCCCCTCCTGTGCACTACCCACCTCCCTCCTCCAGTCTCCTGTTAGGGGCTGTGATTTCTCACCCTCTGCTATTGCTCCCCTATCCCGCTCTCCCTCTGCCTGGCCTCAGTGCTGGCGCTGCTCTGAGCTCTTCTGGAGTCAGCCTGTCCCCAGTGCTGAGAATGATCCAGAAGCTCTCAGTCCTGGGGCCTCCTCTGCCCAGAAAGCAGAGGCTGCCTGACTGTCTGGAGGTGGGGTGTCTGCCCACCTGGGGGACCTATACTGTCCTCTGGGGCCTCCCAGAGTGAGAAGGCCACCATTGTCTCAGACCTAGTCCTGGGCCTTATGTCTGAGACGCATCAGCAGCTCAGGTGACTGCGTTGCTGGCTGAGTCTGGCACTCAAAGGCCTACACATTGTGTGAAGGCCAAGTCTCTTGTATCACAGAGAAACCCGCTAGCAAGGGATTTAACAGGAAGCTTTGCCAGTCATTTATACAGAGGAAATGGAGCTGTCAGCTTGTACTGAAGGGCTTAGAGTGTGGGAGAGGAGAAGCAGTGGGCGGGCCAGTAGGCCGGATACAAGGACACCTGTTGGCTGATTGCACGGGGTTGGCAGGGCAGCCCCACCCGCTAACCAGACTCACCAACCCTGATCCTGTCTAGTGATTGGCAGAGAATCCTTTGACCATCAGCATCCACGCAGCCTGCCCGGCTGGAGGGCCCCGTGTAAGAGGGGCACTGGAGCGCAGGCTCATGCACGAGCCAGGCACTGGGGCTCTCCTATTTCAGGGACAGTGGCATCTGAGTGTGACATCATGTCTCAGGGGCTTTGTGACAGGGCAGCCTTTCCATCCTTGGCCAGTGTGGCCTGGAAATGGCCTCAAGGTTGTTTTAAATGTCACCACTCAGGAGTTGGTCCTTACATGAGTTCCCTTCATTAAACACCATGGGTGCTGACTGAGCAGCATCAACGCACCAAGCTCTATAGAGACACAAAGACACCAAAGTATTAAAGACTAAGACTCTCTCCTGTCGTATAATCCAAGAATCAAAAGCCTGAAATCCCAGCTACTCAGGAGGCAGAGTTCAGGACTGTAGTTCAAGGCCAGCCCAGCTAAAGTTAGTGAGAGCCCCCATCTCAACCAATAAGCTAAGCATGATGGTTCATGTCTATAATCCTAGCTATGAGAGAAGCACAAGTTGAAAATATGAGAAAGAAAAAAAAAGAGGTGTGCCTCAAGTGGCAGAGGGACTGCCCGTGTAAGAAAAAAAAAGAAAGAAACATAGTCTAAGAACTTGTAAATAGCTGAGAATGTGGCTTAGTGGTAGAGTGCTTGCCTAGCATGCATGAAGCCCTGGGTTCAAATTGCTCAGTACCACACAAACAGAAAAAGCCAGAAGTAGTGCTGTGGTTCAAATGGTGGAGTGCTGATAGCCTTGAAAAGCAGCTCAGAGACAGTGCCCAGGCCCTGAGTTCAAGCCTCAGGACTGGCAAAGAAAAAAAAAATCTTGTAAATAACCATTCATCCAACCATTCAACCAGTGTGTATATAGAAAGGAAAACAGGCTGGATACCAGTGGCTCACACCTGTAATCCTGACTTCTCAGAAGGCTGACATCTGAGGAGCATGGTTTGAAGCCAGCCTGGGAAGAAAACTCCTTGAGATTTATCTTCAATTAACCATCAAATTTGGGCTGAAGGCATGACTCAAGGAGTAAGGAGCCAATCATGTTCTAGAAGGTCAAGAAATCTTGAGACCCTGAGGCAAGTCTTTGTATTAGAAAGAAGAAAAAAAGCTGGGTGCCAATGGCTCACACCTGTAATCCTAGCTACTCAAGTGGCTGAGATCTAAAGACTGAAGTTCAAAGCCAGCTGGGCAGGAAAGTCTGTGAGACTCATCTCCAATTAACCACAAAAAGTCAGAGGTGGAGCTGTGGCTCAACTGGTAGAGCACTTACCTTGAGCAAAGCAGCTCAGGGACAGTGCCCAGGCCCTGAGTTCAAGCCCCAGGAGCTGCGTGCACACGCGCGCGCATGCGCATGCACACACACACACACACACACACACACACACACACACACACACACACACACACAGACCACTCTGTCAAGATCTACCACAAAGGTCTTTAGATGAAGCAGACTCAGTACCACTCATAACAAATAACACACAAACACAAACAGAAGGGATTTCCTACATCTAAGGCCAACCAACAGTGTCCTCCATCAAATGACATAGGTAACAGCACACCAGCGGACCAGTGGAACTCCTTAGGCTCCCTAGTCCTAGTTAACCAGTAACTTCCACCCCAGATGATACCATACACACACAGAAAAATTGCTCTTGTGGGGTCCTAAGGCCCACTTCCTTAAACAGGGGTTTCAGTGTGTTTAGAAGAACTCACCCAAGCTTGGCTAAAGGGTTGTTCCATCTTCATTTTATTCTTTCTCTCCTTTTCTTTGTGCCTGTCTATTATGACCTGGGAGCAAGACAAGCAAGGCAAGATTAAAGATGACAAAATAATTTTATTTACAGTACTTATGCCAGAAAAAGTGCCTGCAACTACCTTGTCCTGGGCTAGCCTCAACCACCAAATTTCCAAGCCTCCAATGGGCAGCCCAGACCTTTATTAGTTGTTCTGCAAACCTCAGTCTGCAAACCTCCAACCCCGGACCTCCAAAGCTCCAGGAAGGCTTTTCCTTCTCTTTCCTTCCTCCACTCTCTCAGGCCTGCCCTGCTCTGGTAGAGGCCTCTCCACAGGCCTCTCTGCTCTGGTAGAGGCCTCTCTACAGGCCTCAGGCCTCTCCACAGTCCTGCCCTGCTCTGATAGGCGCCTCTTGCTGTGTTTCTCCTCCTGCTGTCCCCCCACTGCTCAGAACACGCAGCCTCCCCCGAACCCCACTTCAATGAGTCTAAAGCTTTCAACCGCCACTCATGCACCGCCCCCAAGTTGCCCACTGTCCAACCACTTCCTGACATCTAGTCAGCTTGCCTGATGGGGCGGTGACATCAGCCTCTCGACACCACGCCCCCTCCAGGGGCACACCTTATAGGAAGGTGATGTCAGGCTCGATGCCCCGCCCCCTCTGGGGGCACACCCTATGGGGAAGTGATGTCAGCCTCCACACACACACACACACACACACACACACACACCCCGCCCCCTCCAGCGTGGTTGGTTGGCCGCAGTGCTATGAGATCAGCACAGGGCGACTTCGGCCTGGCCAGTAATTACATGTCCTGGGGCCTGAACCCTGGGGCCCGGCACTGTCCCCAGGCTTTTCTGCTCTACTACTTGAGCCACAGCTCCACTTCTGGTTTGTTTTGTGGGTGTGGTTTATTGGAGATCAGTCTCACAATGGCTTTGAACCATGATCCTCAGAGCTCAGCTAGAATTACAGGCATGAGTCACAGCACCCGTAAAATAAATCCCTTTTCTATCTTTCTCAAAGCTTTCCCAGGAGTGGGAGCCATGCATTTGCAATCTGAAGGGAAAACGAAGTCCCGGGAAGTAACTGGGCCTCTCTCCCTGCACGCCCGCATCTCCGCCGGGCTTGTCCCAGAACCGAAACCCAGGACTTGCCGCAAACCTCAATGTCCAGGGACTTAGGGTGAGAACCCTCCCTGTCCCGCAGGTTGAGTGTTTAAGTTGGATACCAGAAAGTCAGTCATGAATGCAATGTTAACTTAAAACATGGAGAGCAGCCGGGCTCACGGGAGGCTGAGACCCGAGGACCGCGGTTCGAAGCCCGCCCAGGCAGGAACGTCCTGGGAATCTTATCCCAAATGAACCACTGAAAAGCCCCAAGTGAAGCCGTGGCTCGAGTTCAAGCCCCGGAACCCGCACACACACACCAAAGACACACGAGGACGGCGATCAAGTCATACTCGGCCTTCCGGCCTGGAGCGCGCTGATGTATTCCCCGCAAAACGACCCCCCACACACACACGCAATCTGCGTGCGGCGCGGTCAGCACCGCAGCGCCCGCGCCGCTGTCACCTCCTCGGAGCCGGCGAGAGAAACCCGCGGAGGAGGCGGGACGCGGGAGGCGGCGGGAAGCAGCGCCCCCTGGCGGCGGCGGCGGCCTGCTGAGTGCGAATGAGCATGCGCCGCCCGCTGGTCGCTTTCCCACGAGACCAAAGTTTCCAGCCAATGGGAGAGCTCAGCACCGTGCTCCTGCCCACCCATGGCGCAGAGGGCGCGGCGTCTCGCTTTAGCCAATGAGAAAGGCATTGGGCGGGGGCGCACGCGCGTCAAGGCGCGCGGCGGTGGTAGCTTTTTCGCAAGATGGCGGCGCGCGGCCTCCGGCAGGCCGCCGCTGCGGTCGCCAGCTCCTCGGTGAAGCCCATCTTCAGTAGGGACCTGAACGAGGCCAAACGGAGGGTACGCGAGCTGTACCGCGCCTGGTACCGGGAGGTGCCAAACGCCGGTGAGGGGCAGCGGCGGACGCGGGGACCGGAGGCGGCTGCTCACGGCCCAACGGCCGAGCTGAGGGCCCCGCGGGGGCCGGCGACCCCGGTGCCCCGGGGAGCGGGTCACCGCGCCGGCGGGACGAGGCCTGGCGGGGCTCCCGAGCGCCCGCGCGGGGGAGCAGGGGCGCTTAGGGCCGTTTTGTGGGCGACGCGGCGAAGGACGCCCCGTCCCAGGAGCTCCGCCGGCCGCGGCCGCGGCGCCAGCCCGGCCCCGGAAGCTTCCCCAGACCGCTCAGCCCGGAGCCAGCCTGGCCGCAGCCTCTGGCCGTCCCCCCGCCCGCACTGAGCCGGGCGAGGGCGCTGGCCGCCCCAAGGTCGTCCCCGGAGTCCGGGGTGACCTTCCAAGTCTCTCCAGGGGAGGGGTCTCCCTAACGGGGTGCAAGCCTGTCCCCGCCGTGCCGTCCCCGGTCGTGTTCCCTAGGCCTCCCCTCCTCGCGGCCGGTCGCCCCCCTCCCCGCCGCGGAGCCCCTCTTTTGGCTTTAAATGGCCCTGTCCGGCCTGGGCCCTTAAATCTGTCCCAGTGCTGATTCAAAGACTGGGACCCCCCCCCCCCCCCCGCCGTCCGGAGCAGTGCGGACGCGCGGACGGGCTGGGGAAGGCCAGAGCTCAGACCCCAGTACTCCCCACCACCCTCAGCAATGTCGGGCTGTGCATGTTTTGTTGGTGCTCTCCGTGCTCATCACGGCTCGTGTGAGGGGAGCGTGTTGTGTGTGTTTTGCGCATGGGAACACTTGGTTCTTCCCTGCCTGTGTGTAGATAGCGGAGCCTGTTAGGCACCGACAAGCTGTGTGATCCGTGCCCGTTCCCTCAGAATGGTCACCTTTGGAAAGTCACTGTGTTACGTAGATGAATACATCCCAAATGATGAGGGCCTGGCATTAAGCGAACACTTGTTAATATTGGCTGTGGTGTTTTGCTATTTCTGCTGCTGACCTACAGAAGGCTCCCTGAGCAGCCCAGTTCTTTGCTGTATGTGAACTGTGCTACTGTCAGTACCCCCCTCCCTTTTTTTTTTGGCCAATTCTGGGGCTTGAACTCAGGGCCTGAGCACTGTTCCTGAGCTGCTGCTGCTTTTTTTTTTTTTTTGGTCGGTCGTGGGGCCTGAACTCTGGGCCTGGGCGCTGTCCCTCAGCTCAAGGCAAGCGCTCTACCACTAAGCCACCTTCCCAGCCCCTCCCCCTTTCTGAAACAGGGTCATGCAGCCAGCCCTGCCTCTTCCTCCTCAGTGCTAGGATTACAGTCATGTGCCACCACAATCACTCTCACACCGACCTTTTGAGAGATTGCTGGTGACCAGAATTTAACCCTACCTGGTGTTAAGGAAGTGGGAACTGCCAGGCGCTGGTGGCTCACGCCTGTAATCCTAGCTACTCAGGAGGCTGAGATCTGAGGATCGCGGTTCAAAGCCAGCCCGGGCAGGAGAGACCGTGAGACTCCTATCTCCAATAAACCACCGGAAAACCGGAAGTGGCGCTGTAGCTCAAGTGGTAGAGCGCTCGCCTTGAGCTGAAGAGCTGAGGGAAAGCGCCCAGGCCCAGAGTTCAAGCCCCACAATCGACCAAAAAAAAAAAAAAAAGAAAGTGGGAACTATGGAAGTAGTGTTTTGCTGCGCAGGGGCAAGCAGATAACAGGTGTGAGGGGTGGGCACAACAGGAAGTGGGAGAGGTGCATGTGCAAGACCCTGGGTTCTGTCCCGAATGCGGGAGAAAAAGAAACCAGTCGGGCACAGTTGCCTGCCTCCCCATCTGTTCAGGAGGCTGAGGCTGTCATGAGGGTAGGCTGAGCGACTTAGCTCAATCCCACCTCAAGCAGTAAGTAATACCAACATTCATAAAAAGCTCAGTCAGTGCTAGAAGTGGATGTAAACGTTTTATGTTACGCAGTCTCCACAGCAGCTCAGAAATTTAGGTGTGTTTGTCTTCATTTCATTAATAGACTCAGAAAATGACGTATGTAACTTGTGGACAGGGATGAGAGGGGAAAGCTGGGGGAAAGCAAAGGAAGGGGTGACATTGTCCAAAAAGAGAAACGTGCTCATTACCAGACTTATGAAATGCCAACCCCCACCTTAATAACAATAATATATTAAAAATAAGAAAAAAAATAAAAATAAACTCGGATACAGCATTGTTAACTGACACAGGATATAAATGAGGGAACTGGCATTTGAATCCAGGTTGTTCCGACTGTGCTGTCTTGCTATCTTTCAAATATAATGGTCTGGCCAGTCACTGGTGGCTCATGTCTGTAATCCTAGCCACCCAGGAGACTGCAATCTTCGTGGTTTGAAGCCAGACTGGAAAGAAGTCTGTGAGACTTTTTTTTATCTCCAATAAACTACTCAGAAAAAGCCAGAAGTAGAGCTGTGGCAAGTGGTAGAGTGCTATCCTTGAGCAAAAGGAGCTCAGGGACAGTGCCCAGGTCCTGAGTTCAAGCCCAGGAGTGGCATTAAAAAAGACACGCGCGCGCGCGTGTTTGTGTGTGTGTGTGTGTGTGTGTGGTCTGTTTCCCCAAACAATGCAAACTCAAAACTCATTGAGCCTCATCTTACATGTCACATCTCCAGGCACAAGAGCTTAGGGTCAGGCTATTGGTGTGTGGAATAAATGGACAACCTGTCTGTTAATGGATATTTATTGCCTTATGTTTTTAAAAACATGTTTAAACCATGTAATTTCTGAATCATGTTTCTCTTTAGTGCACTTATTCCAGCTAGACATCACTGTGAAACAGGGGCGGAATAAAGTTCGAGAGATGTTTATGAAGAATGCCCATGTCACAGACCCCAGGGTGGTGGATCTTCTGGTCATTAAGGTAACTGGCCCTTCCTGACCAACTTGCCCCTTGTTTCTCAGTCCTCCCAGATGAACAGGTAACTACTACTTCAGAGGAGTAGTTGGAGTTATCATCTTGTTAAATAGATTATAAGATTGTTAAAGGAGAATCTACTGTGGCTTACATTTTATAACTAAAGATCAATGCAAAGAAAAGTTTGAGTACATTTTGAATGCGGCCCCTGGAAGCAGAGCAGCAGCTTTACCTGGGTGCCAACTTACAGCTAGCACTGAGGAATTCTGTCTTATATAAATGGGGAGCAGTTAGAGGCCTGGTTCCATCCCACCAGCCAGTCCCATTGCACCAGTGTGGGGACCTCAGTGTAGTCCAGGAAATAACATAGAAGAGAAATGTTAAATAGAAATTGGAGTTAAACCAGTCGAGTTATGCAGGCACGGTTACATGTCAACCTGAAAGTCTCCTCTTTGCATCTGTTCACCAGAGATGGTAATATTTGAAAGACCTCATTTTCTAGATACAGGAACAACTAGATAGAGCAGTTATTTGCCCAAAGTCATTTATTTATTTTTGGGTCCAGTCGTGGGGGCCTGGGCGCTGTCCCTCAGCTCTTCAGCTCAAGGCTAGCGCTCTACCACTTGAGCCACAGCGCCACTTCTGGCTTTTTTTTCTTTTTGCTTATGTGGTGCTGAGGAATCGAACCCAGGGCCTCAGGCATGCAAGGCAAGTGCTCTACCACTGAGCCACCTTCCCAGCCCACCCAATGTCATTTAAAAGGTCCATGTCAGCCAGGCACTAGTGGCTTACACTTGTAATCCTAGCTACTCAGGAAGCTGAGATTCTGAGGATCACGGTTCTAAGCCAGCCCAGGCAAGAAAATCCATGACTCTTTTTCTCCAATTAACTACCTCAATTGGAGCTGTGGCTCAATTGGTAGAGTGCTAGCTAGCTTTGAGCAAAAGAAGCTTAAGGACAGCACCCAGGTCTTGAGTTCAAGCCCTAGCCTGGCACTAAAAAAAAAAAGTCTGTTATTTATTGAATTGTAATCCCTTTGTACAATTACTTAATAAATTTTTTATAAATTTTTTAAGTGTGTTACAAAGGGCTTAGTTACTAAGCTAAAAAGACAGTCTACAAGATGGGAGATCTTTCATAATTCTATATTCTGACAGGGGTTAATACCCAGAATATACTAGGATCTCAAAATAATCCAAACCCAAGAATATTAATAATCCAATTAATAAATAGGCAAAGGAGCTAAATAGATACTTGTCAGGAGAAGTAAAAATGGCCAATAATCATGTGAGGAAATGCTCCACCCCAGGCCATAAAGGAAATGTGAACCAAAACAACATCAAGATTCCATCTCACCCCAAGAATACAAACAAAAGATGCTAGTGGGGATGTGCGGAAAAAGAACCCTTTTGCACTGGTGGTGGGAATGTAACCTAGTGCAATCGCTATGGAAAGCAATTTGGAGATTCCTCAACAAACTAAACATAGAGCTCCCTATGATCCAGCCATACCACTCTTGGGCATTTATCCAAACAATGACAAGTCAGATACAGTTAAGACATTTGAACATCCATGTTCTTTGCAGCCTATTTACCATAGCTAAGTTGTAGAAACAGCTCAGATACTCTACAGTGGATGATTGGATCAAGAAAATGTGAATTTTACTCATCCATCAAGAAAAATGTTATTTACAGGGAAATGGGTGGATCTGGAAAAAAAGTTAGATTCACAAAGGGCTCTCATATGTGCAAGTTAGATGTAAATTATAAGCATGACAACAAACACAGGACCATATGCATATATACACAAATTAAGTTTTGGTATATGCAGAGGAGGATTCCAGTGGTATAACTCCTCTGAACTGACTTAATAATTTAACACAATGAATACCAGAAAATAAACATGAATTGGGGAAAAGTGGATGAATACAGAAGAAATGAGCAGGGAGGGCTGGGAAGGTGGCTCAGTGGTAGAGTGCTTGCCTTGCATGCCTGAGGCCCTGGGTTCGATTCCTCAGTACCACATAAGCAAAAAGAAAAAAGCCGGAAGTGGCGCTGTGGCTCAAGTGGTAGAGCGCTAGCCTTGAGCTGAAGAGCTGAGGGACAGCACCCAGGCCCAGAGTTCAGGCCCCACGACCGGACCCCCCCCCAAAAAAAAATATTCTCTACAGAAATGAGCAGGGAGCTGGTGGCACATGCCTGTTAGCTTCTCAGGAAGCTGAGATCTGAGGGTCTTGGTTCAAAGCCAACCAGGACAAGAAAGTTCAGGAGACACTTATTCTCCAACTATCAGCAAAAAACCAGAAATGAGATGGGGCTGAAGTGGTAGAATGCTAGTCTTCAGCAAAAACAGCTCAGGGATAGCACCCAAGCCCTGACTGAGAGTTCAAGCCCCATGACTAGCACAAAAGTGGGTGTGGGGGGGGAAGGGGGTAGATAGCTGAATAAAGAAGAAAGGTGAGCAAATAGTCATAATATTCTGTGTGCATATGTGAACCTTGCGCTCTCTGGGGTTGGGACAAAATGGAGAGTGATGGAAGGGGCGACTGATCAACACACACTGTACTCATAAGCCCACATGTTCAATTGAAACTCCTTTGTACAGCTACTTCAAGGGAATTCAAAAATAGTCTGGGTCAGGGGCTGGGAATGTGGCTTAGTGGTAGAGTGCTTGCCTAACATTCCTCAGTACCACATAAACAGAAAAAGCCGGAAGTGGCTCAGCCTAACTGGTAGAGCAGCTCAGGGGACAGCGCCCAGGCTCTGAGGTCAAGCCCCAGGACAAGTCTGTGTCAAGCAGAAGAGAGTCCTGAGCATCCCTGTTGTACTCCTTTGACTTAACCACATTGACCTGTCCCCTCCCTTGTACAGGGCAAGATGGAACTGGAGGAAACGATTAAAGTGTGGAAACAGCGGACACATATTATGCGGTTCTTCCATGAAACAGAAGCACCACGGCCAAAGGATTTCCTGTCCAAGTTCTATGTTGGCCACGACCCGTGACATCACTCAATGAAAAGACACATGTGGATATTTAATTGTTTTAGAGTACAAATAAACTCATTATTTGACTGTCAGTTCAGGATAGAGCTCCATAGCAAGTCAGTTCTCTGCAGTCTCTCCTTGTGCGAAAAACTGAGGTCTTGGCATATGTACCAGTTCTTTTGTCTTTCTTCAAATATGCATTGGGTTTTTTGTTGTTTTGCTTTGCAGGGAAGGGAGGACTAGGGTTTGAACTCAGGGCTGGGTGCTGTCCCTTAGCTTCCACTCAAGGCTGGTACTACCCACTTGAGCCACAGTCCAGTTCTGGCTTTTAGTGGTTAAAGCATCTCAGATTTTCTTGCCTAGGTTGGCCTTGATCTCTAAATACTACCAATATGCACTACCCTGCCCTACCGCTTAGTTGTATTTATACAGACTTTACAGTGGGACATTTGGTGTGCAGGCACAGGAGAGCCGACAGAATGGGCTGTTTTCATATCAATACTGCTTCCCCCACCAAAGGGTGTGTTCCCTGGGTTCTGAATAAAATGGATGCTCAGAGCCCTAGCCCCTCCACTTGGAACAAGCACCTGTCCTTAAAGTGAAATTAACTTCCTACTTCTGGCAGGCTTCTGAGGCACAGCTGTTCAGTGCATGCAGAGCAAAGAACATTGCATGCAGAGCAACTGGAGCCTGTGCAGATTGAGGAGCCTCAGCCATTTTCTAAGTCACACACAGCTGATGTTTATTATAATTATTCACAATCTGGCTGGTGCTTTTATAGTGTGCAGTGCACAGCATATCTCAGGGGACCTCTCCCAGAGCCTCAGGATCTGGGCTGTGTTTCTGGACCATGCAGGAGGCAAGGCTGAGGTCTTTTCCAAAACCACACTTGATAGGGAAGGAGGAGAGGCTGAGAGCGTCACCATTTCTTCAGCAGTGCTTTCTCCTTTCTCCCTTCTCCCTCCATGCCCTGTAAGAAAGGGAAGCAGCTATGAACTGGGCAACAGACAGATTGGTTCTACCAAACATGGAGAAAGGCAATGTTGAGTGCCTTTATTTGTGCATTGAGCAGGCATGCACCACAGGTCGACACGGAGATGAACAAAAGGCACTTTCCCTGCCAGCAAAAAACTCAGTCTGGTAGAAGTGGGTTACTGCGCATTTAGGAATATAATAACTAAGTGCCATAAACCTACAATCCTACCTACACAGAAGGATGAAACCTGAGGATCAAAGTTCAATGCCAGCTGGGACAGACAAGCCTAAGAGACATCTCTAGTTAGCCAGCCAAAGGTCAGAACTGGAGGTTAACTTAAGTAGTAGAGCACTATCCATGAGTGAAAAAGCCAACCAAGTGAAAACTTTCAGGAGCAGGGGAATCGTTCAAGTCCAAAAATAACCACAACAAAAAGGGCTGAAGATGCAGCTCAAGTAGCAGAGTGCTTGTTTAGTGACTGGAAAGCCCTGAGTTCAAACACCTCTACCTGAAAGTTACCAGGCAATCTGTAAATTGGTTGTCACTTTCATCCAACTTAAAGAAAAATCCAAAACACGAATCACCAATTGTGCCAATCCCCTGAACCTTCTGCCCGAAATGTCCAAATGCTGGTATTTCCACATCGGATTTGCCATCCCACTTCTTGTGCCTGTCCAGTTGGGGGAAAAAGTTACCTGTTAGTCGTCATCATCGTCATCCTCTGGGACAAAAATGTCATGTTCCTCTAGTAGAGCTGCGAAGTTCTTGCTTATGAGCGTCCCGACGTATAGAAAGGGGATCACAATGGAGAACACACGGAGGAGGCCAAAGGACATCTGCAGAGGGGTAGAATGGTGGCGGTGAGCTCCAGAGCCCACTCTGGCAGGACCACGGGAAGTCCTGGCCCCTCAGAACATTTCCTCCGGTGGATCCCAAGAGCCATGGTAGGCCACTTGATATTAAAATCCTTGGAGAAATTTAGAACAAGTTGTGGCCATCAAAACGGATGTGGTAAAGAAAGGCACTGCAGACATCTAAAGTTTATTATCAGGTACAACCTACAAGCAAGCAAGAACATTCAGAAGACCATAGCTGGCTCTACCAGAAGATACTCAAAACGATTACAAAAAAGCACTGGGAAGGGGGCTCAGTGGTAGAGCGCTTGCCTCGCATGCACGAGGCTCTGGGTTCGATTCCTCAGCACCACATAAGCAAAAAGGAAAAAGCCAGAAGTGGCGCTGTGGCTCAAGTGGTAGAGCGCTAGCCTTGAGCTGAAGAGCTGAGGGACAGCGCCCAGGCCCAGAGTTCAGGCCCCACGACCGGACCCCCCCCCCAAAAAAAAAAAAAAGGTTGCACTTCCCTTTATTTACAAACACTTTACAATTCATTGTTTTCATCTCAACTGTAGGGGACAAAGCGATTGCATGACTTCTCTCTGCCCCAGGGGAGTGGCGCACCACACACAGGACCAACTAGTGCAAAATGCAACGTTTGCCCTTCAGCTTCTGCCTCCGAGCCCCTTCTCCCACCTGTCAATACAACCGGTAGCGCAAAAATGCGTCCCTGGTCCGCCTTCCGGTCTATGCCGAGCCTACGATTGGTCTTTGCCCCTGTCAATCAGTATCGGCCACACGCACGCCTCACAACGATTGGCCTTGGCCCTTTCGCCCCGCCCCCGAGCAGACACTCACTTTCACAGGTTTGGGCAAAATGGCGCCGCTGCGGGTAACGATGACTGACCTAGATGGTACCAGGTTCGGACCTGATGTACCTTGTACGACGGAGACATCTCCACCTTTCTTCCAGCTCGGCCCCCTCCGGAGAGCCCCGGATCGGACAGACGCCAAAGCCAGCCGGCGAGCCGCTCCAGACGCCATCTCCCAGCTCCGCCCCTCGTCCCGGCACCCGCACCCACCTTCACGGCCCGGCGCCGCCCTCGGGAAGGGCGCCTCCCCAAGCCTCGCGAGACTTGCAGGCGCCAAGAGAAGCCCAGGCGCAGCGCTTGCGCAATGCCTCCCATCGCTGGGCGTGTCACCCGCCGGGGCAGTGACGTCACTGCCCGCCCCCCCCCCCAGCTCTGACGGGCGGGGTCCCCAGCTCCGAGGTTCACGCGACTCAAACTCCCAAACCCACTTCCTGTAGGCTGTAGAAAGAAACTTAAGGAGCCAAAATGAGTACGAATGGAAGAAAGCTTTACTTAGTGTTTAAGTCTATTAAAAACCAGTTTAAACGTTTAACAAAGGTCTGTACTGTGTACCTATAAAACAGGTGCAGCGACCGCGGGCCTCACTCCCATGCCAGAGCCTGGGAGACAACTCGGCCTCCTGGAGACAGGAGACTTAGGCCTAGCTGTGTCTCAGCTGGCCCGAAGCCCCAGTAGAGAGGGAGGCTAGGAGGAGGCAATTTTGTGTTTGCGAAGGGGTGTCTCTGACTAGACTCTGCGTCTTCTAACCATCCGTCCACACTACAACCATAAGGGAAACAGACGGGCGGGTCTGCAGACCCAGGGCCATACCTTCCAGAGCCAAAAACAAAAAAACATCTGCATGATGCTGGGGAGAGTAGCAATGAGGATTCTTGACAGGTAAACTGTTTGGACAAGCAGGATTGTGACACAGTTCCTTCCCAGACGATTTCACTCAAAGTTTCAGAAGCAGGAACACCTTTGTATGGGAACTCAGCCAGCAGACATCACAGAGTGCCTGGACGGGTTCCTCAGAGCCACCTTGCCTGGCTGCTGAAGGCAGGGCACAGGAAGGGTTTCTGCTGACTTAGAAAAGCTACCAAGCCCACCCCAGGCACAGACCAGGACATACGTGGAGAGGGCAGCCAAGAGCAACAACAACAAATCCTCTCTATTGGCTAGAAATAGGTCCTACCTAGAAACCCCTATCACAAACAAATGCAAGTTCCCTGACGTCAGTCCTTCATGATGATATGCCAGGTAGCTTCTGGGATTTAAATGCACACAGCTTTCCTGTGATAGAAAACAGGGTTGCATAATCTTGTGTGCAGGCCAGAGGCAGGACAGGCCCACTTCTTTCATTTCATAAATACCCCAAGAGGGGCCAGCCTACCACAGAGTCCAGAGACTTAGGGCTGTCTGGGTGCTACATAAATCACCTTTCCTCTGCAGGCATACGGAAGGATCTGGAATTTAGAGAAGGTATCAAAAGCAACCTTAGAAATGAGTAAACTTTTAACTCCTGAAGAAAACTCAGCTGGGAAGCTAGTGGCTCACACCTGCAATCCTAGCTACCCAGAAGGCTGAGATCCGAGGATCGAGGTTCAAAGCCAGCTGGAGCAGAAAAGTCTGTGAGACTCTTTATCTCCAATTAACCACCAAAAAGTGGAGCTGTGGCTTAAGTGGTAGAGCACCAACCTTGTGTGAAAAAGCCAAGTGAAAGCTTGAGGCCCAAAGCTCAAGCTTTAGTACCAACACAAAGAAAAAGAAAAAACAAAGCAAGTGAGCAAGCAAGCTGGGCTCCAGTGTCCTAACCAGCAGGACAGAGCCACAACTTGGAAGGTCCAGCCAGGTTCAGGGCCTGTCCTGTTGCTCATGCTCTGGCTGGCTACCCTGCACCCTCTGCTGCCACCTCTGCCTCAGCTCCATGATCTCCTGGCCATACCAGTTGTGCAGCGTAGAGAAGCAGGAGGTCTCAGGGGACACAGGGCTCTGCCCTCTGCTTAGGAGGAGGCTGGCAGGGCCCTGCAGCTCCCACTCTGCCAAATCCCGCCCTGCTGGCCGGCTGCCCACTTCTCTCATGAAGCACCCAGGGCTGTGGTCCCTGGGGAGAAAGTGGCCATTCTCCCAAGCTGGAGAAGAGCGGTCTGGAGCCTGTGGCTTTCGGTGACTGGCAATGACCTTCCAGGGTGTAGAGCGATGCAAGGCCAGGCTCTGGCGGGCATCCTGCAGCTGGCTCTCCAGCTCTCGTACCACCAGACGCATGTAGCCAAAGCTGGCACGGGACAGGGCCTTCACCCAGGCCTCCTGGGCTGCCTGTCCATCTGCTGCCAGCAGGTGTGGGCGCACGCCAGGGGCATCAAAGCGGATGGCGAAGGCAAACTCCTCAGGCACAGGAGCCTCCGCCAACTCCACTGTGCAGCCCTCCAGCA